TTCGTGGTGATTAAAATGACTCTGGCTCCTTTCATTGGGGCACAAATTTTGAAGCGGGATAGATAAGTAGCATCAGCTGGCCCTACTTATCCAATCTATCTGGAACCCGTGCCTCAATGATAGGCGCCAAAGCCGTTTTAATCCCCACGAATTCCGGCGCGCGGTTTGCCGCCCCCATCCCGTTCTGGGTGAATGTACCCATACCCATTCTGCAAGGTGAACAAGGTGAAAGGTCAGCAAACGCAAGAGTGGGGGGGGAGGGGAGGCTGGCGCTAAACAAATTGCATGAGTGCGAGCTTTCAACTATCTCTATCTGCAAAGGGCAAAGGAACTCAGACCGACAACTGTTAGAAGTAAAAAGGTCTTTTCCCAACCCAATAGATAAATTTTCACTGTTTTGCCTCTGCCCAGATGAAGAAAGTACCATTCTAGACACATGTGTCCCCACAAGACAATCCCCACATTCTCCCAGGCCATGTTTCGCAGAGTTGTGGAATGTATGTATATTGAAGTTATTTTTTTCAGCAAAACGTGCACTGATTGCTCCATCAATCCGCCAACTGCAAACGATATGCTGTGATGTGGGATGCAGTGTGAACGATCTGTTGTCCTACTGTGGCCCTTTAACGGGATGGTGAAGACTTTAGAAGAAGACGACGACGACGTCGACAACCTCCACAACAACGGCACTATAGCAGTCGGTGGCGTCCGCTCTCGATTTCCTTGGGTTTTCCTTGCCTATCTCATGCCAGGCATTTTCTGGTCTCAACTATATCGTCTCTGGTTAACTTGGATATCTCTTCTGTTAGCTCCTCCGTAGCCAATGAAGCATCGTCAGCACCCTTCCCAAGCATCCATCCCCATCCATTCCCTCCCTCCCTCCCTCCTCGTTCCGTGATTCTCAAATAGACGTTTCTTTTAACTATTTGTCGCCATTTCGTAACGTTATGAAACGGATAAAGATCGATCAGTGTTAGTCCAACCAGAGCAAATGAAGGGAAGGGGACGAGAGCAACGATCACCAACAGCCGTGAATTCGAGCTGTCCTGCTAACGAGAAGCGACGTAAGTGAATAGCTCGAATTAACTCATCTTACGTAGCTATGCAATGATCCAATACCACTACTTCGGAAACGATTACAAGTTTCATATAGCAGTGATTTCGCCGAAGAAGGGAATGGCAAACAATTTTTTATAAAACTTTATAATTTAAGGCTTGAAAAATAGTTATAGCACAGAAATAGTTATACTTATACAACGGACCTGAGATCTTCCGAGATAAATGATGTCAAATTATACAAATAAGAGATTGATAAAAGATGTGAGCGGTTCAAAATTAAAATCTAAAGCTCTGAGACTCTCAAAGTTAATCACGCCTGCCTCGGGACGTGCACATGATGGCCAATGTCTTTTGAACCTGATCCAAAACACTTTTAAAGGTTATATTCAACTCCAATTTAGCGACCGGGAAAGTGGGGGAAAGTGAGGGGTAGAAGATCCCGTTTCCCTTAACAGGGTTCTACCCAATCGCCATGCGATCGAGGGAAGGTAAACAATGCAAGTGACAGGGTACTGACCTGCAACAGGCCAGGCGGTTATGTGATTACTGAAACTGGTCATCCTGGGGCGTTAAGAATAAGTCCCGAGCAGAAATGCATATAATTTTAGCCTCACTCCTTAAGTATTGGTTAGAGCGGGTATTCTATTAGCAGGAGGGAGGGGTGCAATTTCTCATTAGGTTGTACATGCAAATTTACATTAAATGGAAATAGGGAGTACTCCTTAGTTAAGTGTTTCTCAAAATAATGACGTTTCTGAAAGCAAGGCCCATAACGAGGTGGAATGGACATTCGCTTGCGATGCCGCATTAGAGAAGTGAATCACAGGCAAACTCGTAGATGAATTGGCATCCAGGTGATCTCCTATTCGACTGACTTATTCATCCTTTGGTAAAAATGCCGCAGGGTCTCCCTCGAACCACTAAAAAACACCATTTACAAGATTTATCTGTTGGCAAGTATATAAAATAGACACCTGAACCAAAGCTGCACTGGGATTTGTTTGATGCTCAGCTCGAATGACACCTTCGTCAAGGAGAGCCATTTCCTTTCTAGCTGCTTCCACGTAAGCACTGCCATCCATGCCATGAGAAGCCAGTACTCCTCAAATAAGGCACATGGCAAAAATACGGACAGGAATACGAAGGAAAACACTCACTGGCCATTGTATTATTGCTCCAACAATGTAATGAGTGATCATGGCCTTTTTTGCTCCAATCAAGTGTTGGTAGAATCACCTGGAAAGTAAACAAATTACTCTCTCCTGAAGAAAGACAAAAAACAGCGAATACGCAGATTTTAGAAGATCGCAGCGCAGGCTCTGACAGTAGTGGACTCAGTATTATGAAAGATATATGGAAGAGGACTTGCCAACTAATCTACTAACATCGAATAAACCAATAAAAGTACCGACAACTACGAAGCAGTGCTCGCCTCCTAGATTTACTCCGTCATGTGGATACCACATCATGCTCGAAGGTATCAGTTTTTCCCTTAATCATAGTAGCCAACCTCCCTTAACAGTTGAAATTGGAATGAATGGGATGCATCCGGGCTAAGTTTTGGAATGACCAAACGCCGCCTGGATGCGCAAACTCTACAACTTCGGGCTCTTGATATGTCGCTTCTTCAGCGTTTTCCGTCAATTTTCACACCTAGATGTACAGCTCGTAGTCCTTTCGCTGAACGTATACTACAGCCACATGTACACTACAGTCACATTATGCGCCCGAATTTTTGAGCTATCTTCACAGGCACAGATTACGACCATACCTCAGCATTAACCGGTACGAATATTGAAAAGAGTAACACAGAGAGGCCGTGCAGACGAAATAAATCTTCGGTCTTCGCAGTTTCCATGCATTCTGCTATCAGTGTCCTGCAACTAAACACTACACAGAAGCGCCCAACAATATCAAAAAAGTATAACATCCTACACTTCGGAACTTTTCGGATTTCTCGCTTTCATCAACCTTTTCAACCACCTTTAATCTTCATTCTCGTTCTCAGGCAATATACAATAGCGTCAAAGCTTCACTATAACCACGAATGATGTATCAAATTCAGTTCTCAGGTTTCATGAGCTATCATCATTTGTCATCACTAGCGGACCTCTCTTTATGTACCCCTTGCGAACTTGACTGTCCCTTTCATCCCTCAGCAAAGGTGTCAGGAATTATTGACTAGACGTAACCATATACTAAAAAAACACGCCGAGCTACTTATAAGGATGTATACGGAAGAGGATTATTTCTATTCAAAAGTACAACATCTCAATTGACAACTTATTACAATTCTAACCTAAAATGCTTCGTATTTCAATGGACTGACCTGCATTCTGCTATTTTGTTCAGAAGATATGCATGGAAGGCATGCAAAAATTGAGCATTATTGCGGACGATCAACGAACAGCTCGATATTCGGTTTGGCGTGAGCCTGAATGATTGCTCAAAAGACCATGTCGCGTATTAGGGCAGCTGCTCATCGTGAGACCATGTAGGTGCGTTCAGAATTCACCAACGTGAACTGTTTCAACTGTTTCCACCGAGCAACCGACCGAGGGGGTTCCAGGCCACGTGTTGGCAATGCAGGACAGATTGCGTTCAGAGCTGCGTGAGCCATGAGGGCGCGATCTATCGATGTCCAGTGTTGTCAACACGTGGCCAGGAATCCGTTGGTCGATCGGAGGATAAACCAAACTATGAAAATATTCCTCCGTCTAAACTGCCACGCAGAAATATAACTGGTTGACAACGGCCCTGTGATTGAAGTCACAGGAAATATATTTAAATACATATATAGCTTACTGATCAGCAATTTCATAGAACTCGGCATGTTTGCATTGAGCAAGGTACGTGATAGCAAGGTTCACGTGTGTCATCACCCATATATTCTTATCTTTAGCTGATTTGAACTGCAAAGGGAAAACGTATTGTACATGTAGCAATGCGATTTTTACAACAGAATTCCATCTGTACCACCTGGGGACGTTAGTATGACTTACTTTGGTGGCAGCGATAAAGTGTTTTTCAGCAGCGCCTGGTTCGCGAAGATATGAGCAGTAGTGACCCTAGAAAGGGACTAATATGAAAAAGTTTTGGTGTATGCCTATAATTTTCATACCAGTAAGGACTGGATAGCAGGTCCAAATTCCTCGAAAAGGACACCACCATGCCGTTGGCTGAACTGCACCATGTCGCGAATCTAAATGTGGTAATTAGTATTATCGGAGGGATATTGGGAAGCTTGAAAATCCACATGCAATGACATTGGAAAAGATTTGTACGGCGCCCGGTACTGGTGGGATTGAATCACAACATCTAAAGAGCATTCCACAGCTATCGTCGTATCGTCGAAACTCTGGCCAGACTTTTCACGGAATTGTTGGGATTCGAAAAGCCCACGCCGTTGAAAACTAACTTCCTCGAACATGCGACACTTCCTGCTTTGACATACGCATCAGGGACATCACCCAAGCGGGATGACATGCACACAGCGTCATTCTACGCATTGAGACAGTACGACCCTCGGAATTCACGATACAAGCAAGTGTATAGTGAACGCTTAAGCAGGGAATCCAAACCCAGAAGGGCGGGACACATGCGCCTTTGTGATGAACATTGGAGCAGGGCGGTTACTGACTGGATGCTTGAATGGCTCAACAGCATGACGGTCGTCGGCGCGATGGTCTAACTTTTTTAAGGGAGCCCTAAAAAATGGAATGTTCTGCCTCATGTTTCTCGAGCAAGGACGTTCCACTGGACTGTTCTGGCTCACGAGAGGGACGATTGGGGATATTACTGGCTCCCTCTTGAGATGATCAGCGGGACGAAAGGTGACAGACGACCTATATACCATAGGTCTGTTAGTTTTGGATACAGCTATACGATAAAGGGTAATGAAAAAAGGGAATACGCACATTATCCATTGCCATGCTGGGATGGCAAGCCATTATGTTGCACAACGCCATCATTTCGTTCAAAGCCATCCGCATCCTCTGGACGCTCCGTAGAATTCCATACTCGCAAGGATTTCTTGAAGCCTGAACAAAGTATTTTTCTAACTTTCTGAAAACATTTTTCTCTCATTTGAGAGGCCAATAAGAAGGAGGGGACAACAAGAGCTCGGTATTTTGGCCATTCATTTAACCATCCTTCTGCAACCGAAGTAAACAGTGATAACAAATGAATGCTAACCCTCGCACTGTAATCCTGTATATGTCGTACTGCAATGGTATAGTATTTCGCTGCCCGTTCATAATTGCATTGCAGAGCCGAATTGACGATGGTCATCAAGCAAGCGAATACGGTCAATGGTACGGTATCCATCCACCTAGAAAATTTAGATCAACACATCTGATGTTAAGGAATGTGCCCCGGTCCATTCCAGATTTAATTCATGGGTAGTTGCATAGGACCCTTCCCGTCGAGAGTAGAACGACCGAAAGTCCGAAAGAATTCGAACAAAGGCGCTAGGCAGGATACAACTCGCAAGCGCTGTACCGTGGAGCACTCGTGGGAAAGTCCCGGAATCTTTATGGCTCAGATCAGCCCGTTTTATCTTGGTCTTGCTTAGCTCTCCTGTAGTTGTACACCTGTCCTCAATTCCCTTTTTTGGCGCACCCAGATGAGTGTATAAATAAATAAATAAATTCCGAAGGCTGCATTTCCACTCGGCACTCGACAGTTACTGTCAGTAACATGGTGTAAATGCGACGGAGGTAGACATGGTTCGTTATAGAAAAACAGGTAGCGAAGGGAGAGACAAAATAAATTAGGAAACAACTTTGATAAGTAGTAATAATGGTAATGGTTATGAATGAGTTCAAGTCAAAATTTAGTAAGCTTCAACTCTCAGTATAACTGCATAAAGAGCGATAGCGAGTAAAAAAAAGTTGCAGATTGTATGAAGAAGAAGACTATCTGGTACGTTCAAACGAAACTATACGATAAAATAAGTGCTACCTTCAAGTAACATACGAGTTAGGCAGCATAATAATGAGGTAATGGCGTTCATCAGCCCTGTTTTTGATATGCCATGCTTGACATTTCGATGGAACTACTTAAGGAAGCAGGTCAATCTTTTGTTTCAGATCCGGGATTCAGATTAAGTTGCTCCGCAGGAATGGGAGGCTTGCGTGGCATTTGCCTGACATGGGCAAAATTCAATCTAGAGCCAAATTCCTGACGATATTTGTCTTTGTGACCCTAACTGTCGCCAACACAAGTATTACCCACATCATCGCTGCAGTGGGTCAGCCTGGGAACAGAAAGATAGTCTCGGAACGCATAATAACACTAGCAAGCCTCTTATCACCGCGCGCTCAAATTACTTTTTACCCTTTTTCTTGAGCCCTCAACACGCCGTGGACGTGGCGAAAACGTCATGCCGCCAGAGTCGTAGCCTCGTACCCAGTTAGACTTTGATTTGTCAAAAAGGAAAAAATGTAGTACAGGTATGAGTGAACATCGAAAACAATACCGTATCCCCATCTGGACGCAGGTACCATCTTTACTTAGGGTTTGTACTTCTGACTGAAGTGTTCGCAAGTGCTGACGAGAGGATCGTGTCTGAAAACCTATCTTTAGAGACATTCAAGCTGAAGGAAATACGACAAATTTTGACCTAGCAAGACATCAATTTCCCCTTTATGGGAGGCTATGTTCAGTAAAGGCAGAAGAGGCTGCTGACTTAGTATTTGCTACATTCTCTAAAGTATCCTATCCTAGAGGTAGATTCGTAGAGGGACAGTCTCAAAGAAAACACGAGGTTTCTTAGTCCCAGCTACGCCGTTAGCAATACTTTTGCTCGATAACTTATCGACTCCCTACCGCTTCGTTTTGAGTGTTTTCCAATGGTGTTTACCCAAAACAAAGTCTTAACGCCGCAAGTCTCCAGCATATTCAATGTGCCGTGACCGAACAAAAACCGTAGCCCAAAACTACATTTTGATCATTCTGATTGTTGTTGCTCAAGAATAGACGTAGTCTTGGATTCAAATGATGGTCTCTCAACTCTGCAGATTACTCCCGTCTATCATCAGTATTTTCCTACCATCGCCTGGACCCCTTAGAAATTTGAACGCTCTACTTCCAAGAAACGAAATTTCACGCAAGCCCCTCCCCGTAGGGGTGGGGACCACTCGCACCACCAACACTCGCTGTTTTTATCCTGTCGCAAACATCTCCTCCAAATTCGAATGCTCTGACTCAGCATTTACTGTTGGTGTTCATACCTGCCGCCACACACCCATAAAAGTATGTATACATATACACACCGACAAACTCACACTAATAGCATTATATATAGTGGATTGCAGAAAGATTCCCCGATATGTGATTAACGAAGTCATATATTATTTGGAGCATTTGGAGCTATCTAATTCTGATCCCTTTATCTTGGGTAACGGAACTTCTCCCCGATTGCGGCATTCTCCCTTGCGGCGTGCGGCAAATGTCACTGCAACTACCGTACTCCCCCCGCCTCCCCCCAATCGATAGGACGCGGAATTTTTCCTCAATCGCCCTTCTTTTTATTAGATTTGATCAATTTTCTATTTCTTTTTTACTTTTATGTTTATTAGACTTGATTAATTAGGATGACTAGTCTTATGTACGCGAAGAACAAGACTGCAATGAAATTGGAGAGANGCCATCGCAATCCTGCGATACGCGGCGGGTGCGGCGTGCGCGACGCCGTCTTCAGGGAGAAATTCCCGGACCCCTTTATCTTGTTTTTGTTGTTATGCACTTCTCTTTTTCTTTGTTTATGGCCAAATGAGACCATAATTTGAAATTCTTTTTTTTGTGTTCTTAATGGGCACACCCTTAAAGTGTATTTGAATAAATAAATAAATAAATATTTTACAATATTTTGAGTTTTTCTGTCTTGCTATTTTTGAACTAGCTCAGGAGAACTGTGCTATCCCCACTTCTTATCACGCGCTATTTACTGTTGCTTCTCTTCAAGATCTGTCGACTGAAAGAAAGCGGAAGACAACTTTCTCAATTCTAGCCACAACTGAGGAGAGTGGCGACCTACAGCGCACAAGAAGACATTCCAAAGTCCTGTGGATAATGCAATGAAATGTGTAATGCAATAAAATGTTGCCATCCTTTTCATAACGAGAGGTAACCACGAGGAGCCAGGAGCAGAACAAACAAACCTTTCCATCTGATAGCATAAAAGCTAGAAGGGTGCAGATATAGAAAAGCTTCAAGTTCGCAGTTGCCGGTGATGTTTGGTCCAGTCTATTGATGAGTTGTCCAATGACCATAGTCTCCGATTCGTCGCATACAGTACCTGCCACACGAGCGGAGACCTTAATCACAGTTTCCACTGACAGCATGAAAGAGGAGAAAATCAGAAATCCACTGGAAGTTCAATCACCATATTCTTAGTTAGGCGGAAATAAAGGTTAATGATAGGATCGTCCACGAATTGTTGAATGGCTACTTGGCACGCTTCAAGTGCATCATCAGCTCGCCCTTCGATTGTGCAAACTTCCTAAAAATGTCAATTTCCGACGTCCCTGACCCATTCAAAAAAGCATTTAAACTTACTATATAAGAGAAGAACAATTTTGCGTAGATTGTTGGGAAAGCTTTCGCGTTTGCGAGTTCTGATCTTATCAGAGTCAGCATGCGAGTACTGGAAGCCGCACTGGGAGGTCCTGAATATATCCAATCAAGAAATATATATTTCATAACCCTTAGAAACACAGAAGGAAAATAGCTGGAAAACGTAGATAGCACATAGCCAACAAAAAGGGTACGCCCCCTTGAGGGAAACGGGCGGTAGGAACGGTTTCGTGTAATCGCTCCGCCGTACGCGGCTGTCGCGGACGTATTTGCCTCGTTACAACAGTTCTAACGTTCTTCATGCAGCTCATTCGCTATGCGATTATTGCTTATTAGTTTTTTTGTTCCTGAACTTCTCACTTGCTACCGCATTCTGCTACATTCTTTCACGCGCGACACCTCTCTCGCCGCGACGCGACAATTTCGTTCCTACTGCACCACATCCCCCTCCCCCTTGATAGAGAATGACCGACTTCACGTTATAACCTAGGCTCTTGCACCCAATAATCATAGACCTCCGTTTGCAGGCTCTCTCGAAACAGGTGGTTCTCGATATCATAGATCCACGTTGCGAACATCAATCGAGATTCAGCAATTTAAGAAAAAGATTAGGAGATTATAGTTGGATTTCCACCTGTGCCTGGTATTTTTAGCCCGATCAAAATTCATAAGTTATTTAACGGAACTGAATGCTCAGACAATCCTAATAAATTAAGCACAATGATTACTAGTAAGCACTTAAAGGCATAATGCTGCTCCTAACAAACTTGGTAGTTCGATCCTCACAGTTACCCCGCATCGAGGAAATTATGATTTGCCTGAATTCCCGTAGGCCCTGTAGTAATTACGGAGTCGTTTAATTTGACCACATTCTCTTCAATTTTTTAATATTTGAACAGCTGTAAGGTGTTCAAGAGATCGGACAAGCAGGGCTTGGAAATCGTATCGCGTGGACTGAGCAACCTTTCACCGAAATCTGCGTAAACACCAAAATTTTCATGTGGGACGGATAATGAATGCCATTAACAGAATCGAGGAATTGGGATAAGTCAGCCACTAACTATAAGCTCGGCTTTGACTAACTGCCTTATGGAAAGAATCAAAAGTTAGGCATGCCCACACTTCGCTCTCGGTTCTTGAATGGCAAGTACTGACCTCGATATACCTCGATGATCAGCTAAAAAACCTGCAAAAGTAGTTTCGCATTTCTCAAGAACTGTGGGGCGACAGAGGCAAGAAAACACGTGGAGATTCTTAGGCGACGCGAAGTGGGAAAGGGCGGTATATCCTCATATGAGATTACAAGGATGACTGGTCATGGAACACTACACGGTCGGTGGACAGGTCAACTTGAGACGTCTTCTTAGAAGACTCTAGAACATATGCACGTCTAATACCTATCGTATCGAACTGAAAAAAGGCAGCTGACGATCTGTTCTCATCAAAACCTTCAAGTTTCTTCACTTGGCGGCACCTATATAGGTGAGAGGTGATGAGGAGGGAGATACGCATGTTACGCAAGAGAGAATGACCATACCAAATCATGGTAACCTCTTAGTACTATAGTAGTGATTCTGATATAAGAGCTAATTTTTTCGCAGCTGATGCTACCGGAATGAGGGCATTGCCGTTATAGGTGAATTCCTGTCTTCCTCCTACCTTTACTGGGTCATTAACACTATCGCATGGCATTACTTTCTGACTACTAGTATGTCCTACCCTTCGTCGTAGTGAGTAGAATCGAGCGGAAGTAAGGGCATGGCCGCAAGGAACGTTTGTTTTTTCGCTAAAATTCTAATCTCTGGATCGCTGAAAACTGGTGGGCCGGCTTCCAGTGATAGGGGGTTTGACCGGATCAGCAAAATATAGAGTACATCAAGCCAATGCCCTGTTTGAAGACGAATTTCTAGAAGAGTCGATTTGAAAATGTGGTTTAAACATTACAAATTTAAGCTAAACATCGGCGTAATCAACCATAACCATAACAGTTGCCCAGAACTCTGGCAGGATTGCCAGCCATGGTACATTTGGTATAAAGCATAGGGATAATTTTTTTCTAGGTTTTTTTCTAGATTTCGAGATTTTTCTAGTCTTTACGACTAACAAAGTTTGCTTGAAATATTTCTCCTTACCGTGAATTAGTGCTTCACAAATAAGGGTAAGTGCTTCAAGTCGAGGCTGTATAAAGTAATCACCCATCCTCGTCATCATATCGTACTGAAATGTACCTAATTATTATGAAAAAAGCCATTTTGTATTGACTTTATAATTACCGCAATTTCAAGACATTGTAGAGCTAAATCCAGATTTTCTGTATAAAAGAAATACAGCTTCCCCAATTGAAATCGTACATGTGCGGCCATTTCGGGACTGAGCGTTAGTGTCAGAGCTCCCTAAAATGAGCATGGCAATAAATGACTAGGAGAGAAAAGATGGCTGCGAAGCCAAGAATAAAGTAAATATGCGTATGGAATCGGTCCAACTCACTTTTGTGCACTTGATAGCCATCTTCACTTTAGGCGGTTTGAGTTGACGGAGTGTTTCCGCCATGGCCAGCATGGTCATGGCGACATGGTCACCAGTGGACATCTTCAACACAAGATACTTTGCAAACCATTACTGCCTTCTGCTCTCGTACGATACAAAATAAAAGGGCGAAAACCAAAAGCGCTTTTCGTTCAAAACCGTGCACCATGAGAGCACAGAAAAAGAAGGATCTTTTGGGAATTTCGCGTCGTCAAGCTTCACGGGTTCGAGATCGTATTATCCACTAAAGCCCCTAGAACCAGGACGAACCATCTCAACAAAATTGTATTCACGTGATTTGGAAACAATGTAAGAACAGCTGCGCAAAATTTTTCCGGCAGTCGTCAACAGCTATGGGCCTATACTGCTCGGGGACAACGCAAAAAAAGCAGAATATAGAGGTCCTACCCATCTGCTCTATTTACCCGACCTGTCTCCTTCAGACCACAGTCTTTTCTGGGCCTCGGAGCACGTTTATGTCAACCAAATGTGAAAGATCTCGCAAAAGTCTCTAGTTTATCGACTCCCTTATTCTAAGCTTTTACAGTGACAGCATCTATTCATTACCCACACTTGGTAATCATGCTGATTCTGATTACTTCGATTAACAAAAATCATTTGACAAGGGTCATGATGTTCTAAACTTATCGGAGCAAAACTGCAACTACTATTGCGACACCAAGAAACCTAGTCGCTTCTAACCCCACTGGTATAAACTACGTAACCTTGATATTTTGTATGTGTTTCATAGGATAGGACGAAATCTCAGGAAAGATTGACAAAAAAATGTGTGATTAGTGCAACGATAAGAACCGACCCAAGTCATTTCCATATGAGGGAAACAAAGTTTGGCACATCTATTGCAACTGGATTAAGATTCCACCTCAAAATGAGATAAGGGACCAGATATGTTTCTATCCACTAATGATTGCCAGAAAATCTATGACCATAAATAATACGAGAATCTCGGCCAATGTAAACTTTTTAGAATTAACATCGATCGAGAACATTGGGAAGCAACATTCATCCCTCTGTTGCAGAGATGTCGCTGCGTCAGTAGGGCCTATAAAGATAAGGGTTTTGAATACCTTATGGGTCAGGACACAACAGCATGCGCCCCATGCGAACTAGAAGCGCCTCAGGTGGGAGGATTCCTCTCAAAAAGAAGTTCTCCCATATCACTCATTGTCACTTTCTCTTATCAACCACCGAGGTTGCGAAAGGCGAAATGGTCCCAGCATCTCTTACCAGCTGTCAGCAATTTCTGTTACCAACCCCCTTACCATCCCATACCGAGCGCCATGCACGATCCCATCACATAGGAGGTAATACACTAAACTGTCAAACGTCAACTGTTAATGCAAAATACAAAAATGTCTACAATTTCTGTCTTCCAGGCCTGATTATCAGTCAGTATCAGTTGTTAGCACTTCTTTGTACCAAGGTTTTCCCTTTTCCCACCCTGCCGCCTGTTCCCTCCAAATCTAAAGCTCTACGCCTATATACATTTCATTTCATTTTAAAACTTCCCACGTTCCCGGTTTCCCACATTCCAATTTTACATACTCAAAATTAGCGCCTGCGTGGATACGCTTTTAGCATCACTCAAAAATTCACCATCTCGAACACACACTACAAGCTTTGTCTGAATAAAATTTTAACTTAACATTTTTGCAACTTTCAGTTTTTGCATCATACGAGGTTACCCTGTGAAACGTAACAATAATCAATAGCAATGGAAACAAAAATTTAGTTATATTTTAAGGCTCCCTGTTGTTTTAGACCGAAATCAAATGATACACTCAGAATAAGGTTCCGTTTCCAAGCTTGCAAATTGGAGTCGTGCGTTTCTGTGATAGCCGGCAAGCATGAGAGCCGTTTCAGTGCTGTCTAAATGATGCCGTCGCTTCTTTCCACAAGCCTCCATACACCAAAAGGACATTTTTGGACACCAAAAGATCCTATTCCGATCGGATTTGGTTCAGTGAGTAGGTACTAATCGTAACAGCTCATAAAACTTCCCTCTAGTTGATCGCAGTAAGTTTGCGCGGACACACTACGTGGATGCTCCAGAAACATCGGAACTCCCCAAATGCATTTAAATGAAACAGAGGGACCTTTCGATTCGGCTCACAACGGCTCCCATACTGAGCTCTGCCTCACGAGGATTCCGAAATTGCGCTTTTTCCTCTGTAGACAGATGACGACCGTGAAGCATGGTGGATATTGCTTTTGAATGATTTTACGGAACATTCTTTCCTACAGACTCCACCCCCTCCCTCATTTCAGACTTTTCCGCACTCTGTCAAGAAGTGTTCCAATTTTCATGGAGACCTTAAGCTCATGAGCTTAGCCCACCTTTAAAGGTCGGGTCAAGCTTGGAATGGGTTGAGCTTAGGCAAATAGAACAGTGGGCCGCCCACAATGGGCGAGGCGTGTGTTCAAATGGAGCCACTTTTAAAATGTATATAGAACTCTGTTCGAAAACGTTCTAGAATGCGGAGAAAAAGGTGGTTAGAATAAGCGAAGAAACGTGGTCAAATCCCTGAGGTGGGCGGGCTTGCACTGATGTGGGCGTCGCTGGGATCAAAAATCCACAAATCTTTTCAGAAACTTCTAAAATGCAGATAGAGGTTGTTAAAGGAAGGGTGACAGAATTATTGCAGTGGGCGGAGTTTGCATCGAGGTGGGAGGAGCCAATTGAGAGATCAAACATCCATAATGCCGTTTAAGAACGTTCTAGAACGCGGAAAAAAGTTGTTAGAGATAATAGGAAGCATGTGTTCAAACCCCCGAACTTGGCGGAATTTACATAAAGGTGGGTGGAGTTAAGATCAAAAATTCACAACTCTGTACGAAGAAGTCCTTCATGTTCCAAAATCGTTCTATTTGTAAACTGATCGCCATTACTTACTACCTATGAATTTTTACCATCACTTGCTATGCTATGCAGAATTCGTTTTTGTCTTCCTACTGTCCCGAAATTCTTTATTACCTGAAGAAGTTGGGTCAATTTTGAGATGACTAAGACTTGGGAAATCAGCTCGACACTTATGAGCTCAGGGGAACCCCGCCCCTCAGAGGCGGGACATTACCTTGATGAGCTGTGCAATTTAAGACTTTACAATTCTGCTTTAGTATCCCCAAACACCTGAAAAAATGGGCACACTGTAGGAATAAGTCAACGAATCGAGGGAGGGACACTTGCGCGATGGGCGATGCACCTCCGAATTTTTTGCATGGATTCATAATCCACAACACCCTTTAACTACATTCTCGAGGAGTAGAGCGCAGAGCAAGAAATTCATCTCGGTTAGGTACGTAACTCGTTGTGACGCATACGTTGAGTGTGTGGAGCCCAAATGGTTTCTAAAGAAAGCGAAGTTGTGAGTAAACGATGCATAATCTGGAACGCTATTCAATGGATTGTCGATTTTAGATTCCAGCTTCGCCGACTTAAACAGCTTCACTACCTGCCATGTTTTCTCCACCTACTGCTGATGCTGATTCTATTCACTTTTTTGCTATATTTGAGCAAATTTTTGGTCGCAGCTCCGCTCACTTTCATGCCTTGCCAACCTAACACGGATGGTTGTGTTCTCAAACATTTCTAGCTCCAACATATATTCCCACTTGGCCCAGCATTCCTATTTCTACTCAGCTAGCATGAAGTCCAGCTCATACCATGCGTGCTTAGGTAAGTCGACTCATTGAGCCCTCATTTTGGGCATGCCCGTGCCTTCCCCCTCCCCCCCCCCCCCCCCCCCCTCTCCCAACTCCTCCTCGAAAAGGGTGAAGTCCGGCTCAGTTACTTATCAAATGCTGCAATGAAGCTGACTTTGGCACGAGTGGAGTTTTTTGTCGAAAGCCTGAGCCCTAAGCTCCTCAAGGTATTTTCTGTGTTTGGCAACCCAGGAGCCGATTCAGAGAGGTTTTCAGTTTGGAAATGTCTACTTCGACAACACAACATGATGAAATACCTAGCGCCGGAGCTGAGCGGAAGGAAATGCGGGGCGTGGGGAATATCAAGTACCACGAGGGGATAGTGCAGAAGGCGAAAAACGTTTAGCTCAGCTCCCATCTGTTCGACACGCGGCTCATCCTGCATTGACTTCTGAGACTCGAACTGTACGTTTGAGCTTGCACTATGCAGTTAGCGTCATTCAATGCACTATGGAAAGGACGAAAAGAAAAAAAAAGAAAAAAAGAGTCAGCTCAAGGGTGTCGGTGGAACGGGTAATGCCCTGGTGTCCTGAATAGCCCAAGGATCAACCAAAGACAAACTTCTACGCTTTTCAACTATAAAATGTTTGTGAAAGGCACCCAGTTCCATTTGTTGTATTTGTATTTGCTAGAAATGCCTTAGAAAGCCTCATGAAACTCCTGCGATAGCATAGTCTATTAGAGCTTGCATTTTCTATCAGCGCTTCTACGCGTTTTTCTTCTGCCTCATAACTCTCGACTTCATGATGTCAGAACTTCGTAGCCTCCTCGCTTCAGAATACTTTGAAATATCACCAAGACAGGCCAAGCAAGCCTCCCATCCATCCAGGGTTGGTTAATGGGTACCAGACTCGTCTAAGTGGATAAAAGCACTGACTTGTACATCGGCTGGCCACCGCAAGTTATCGTATAGGCAACACATGCATTCAATAGGCTACTACGATTCTGAAGTGAAGTCGAATGCGGGACGTATCCCTCAGACGGGATCGATTAACGCCCAAAGAATTTACTTATTTTTATCACCAGGACAGAGAAAATAAGCGAATTAATTAACCAAAACACGCCCCCTCCGGCTGTTACTGAAAATCTTGATCGATTGCAAGTTTGGTCACTATTACCACATAATCAGACAACGAAGAAATGTTGCGTGCAGGAAGGAATCATAAATACACGTCCAAATTGCATAATTAATAATACGAGTCTCTACTCCAATGATTAAATTATGCCAAATAGTATCTACTCAGCGCTTCATCATGTCAATACATCCCAAAAATAGTTCAAAGCAAGAGTTATCCGAAGAAGTAAGCTTACAAAAACTCAGGTCAGCAAGACAAGACACA